GACTCCAGAAGCTCTCTGCTAGATCACACCTCGTACCGTGGGCAAGATGATGACCAGTGGTGGTGTAGTGCCTGGCCTGGACTGTTCAAGGCATGGATTGGGCTGTGCTGGCATTCAGAGGGACCTGGACAGACCTGAGAGTTGGGCAGAGAGGAACCGCAGGAGGTTCAACAAGGACAAGTGCAGGGTCCTGCCCCTGGGCAGCAATAACCCCGGGCATCAGTACAGATTAGGGGCTGACCTGCTGGAGAGCAGCTCCGCAGAGAGGGACCTGGGAGTCCTGGTGGACAGCAAGTTCACCATGAGCCAGCCRTGCCCTGGTGGCCAAGAAGGCCAAAGGGCTCCTGGCTGCATCAGGAAGACATTGCCAACAGGTCAAGGGAGGGGATCCTGCCCCTCTACTCAGCTCTGGGGAGGCCAAACCTGGAGCATTGGGGGCARCTCTGGGCTCCCCAGGATAAGAGTGTGTGGAAAACACACAAGAAGTTTGGGCTTAAGCTGAAGACACAGGCCACAAGATTGTAAGCTTGTATCTTTACAAGGGAAGGAGGAAATTGCTTCCCCCTTCTTTGGCTGATGAGCAGGACAAAGGAACCAGGCAGGTGGGAGACTGAGCGGAGCCAGGAATGGGGGGAAAGACTGCAAGGAGACTGGAGTGAGGGGGTCACAAGGGAATCAAGKGACCTGAGGTGCGAACACGTGGCGGGAGGCGCCGAGCTGGTGTAGGCGGCCGGGCAGGCTGTGACTCCTGAGTCCCCTGGGCAATGGGGAAAAGAAGAGGGCACCGCAGCCAGGAGRTTAGGATAAAAGGGGGGCTGCGTCCCCCAACAACCTGAGAGACCCCACGGGGAGATGCCCAGTGGACTCTCCCTTTATTTGAATAAAGTTTTGGTCTCCTCTGTCTCCTTTTGGACATTCAGTTCTTGGACAGAGAGATTTTTCTGCACAAGAGGGATGTGGAGCTTCTAGAGAGGGTCCAGTGGAGGGCAACCAAGATGATTAAGGGACTGGAACATCTGTCGTACGAGGAGAGACTGAGTGAGTTGGGCCTGTTTAGCCTGGGGAAGAGAAGGCTAAGGGAGGATATGATCAACATGTATAAGTTCATGAAGGGAGAATGCAGGRAGGAAGGGGCCAAGCTCTTCTCGGTGGTGGCCAGTGACAGGACCAGGGGCAATGGGTGTAAGTTGAAAYCCAGGCAGTTCCAWCTCCATGTGAGAAGGAACTTCTTGACTGTGAGGGTGCCYGAGCCCTGGCCCGGGCAGCCCATGGAGGCTGGGGAGGCTCCTGCTCTGGAGATCTCCCAACCGCCTGGACGAGACCGGGTGTCCCGTGCTCTGGGTGCCCCTGCTGGAGCAGGGGGTTGGACTG